TATAAAAAAATAATGTGCCAATGTATTTTTGATATTATTCATCTGATATTGTAACAATATATCAGGAGCATTTTATTAATTTTTACATTTTTTGACCAAAAAAAAAAAAAAAATTGACATTTATAGAATTAAGAACTAAAAAAATTGTAATATTAAATGTCCGTTAACAGCTCGAAAACAGACAAAATATTTTGAACATTTTATCAAGTATAAGAATTGATAAATTAAACATATGATATAAATTTCAAGTGTTTACGGTTATTCGTTTTTGAATTACAACAAAATAAGAAAATCGCTACATTATAAATCGAGTGAATGTTCAATGTTGTAAAAATATGAACTTCAAACGCTCATAAAAATTGTATTTGACTTTCTTGTAATAATTTTTTTTTTTTATGAAGGTAGATAAACTTGTGAGAAATCTTGTAGGTATTATATGTTCAAATCTTAGATTTAAAAAGAAAAATTTTTATGAATTTCTAACTCAAAATCATTTTTACATTTTCATGATTTTTACGTATTTTGTCAAGATTTGAACTTTAAATGCTTATAAAAAAAATTGTGACTATGGATTTTTAATATTTTTCAAATGTCATTGTAACAATATTTATAATTAGGAGCCTTGTATTCAATTTTCATGTTTTTTACCCAAAAAATAACATTTTATTGACATCATAAAAAAAAAATTAAAAATTTGAAACTGAAATAGTATAAAAAGTATAAAACAAATCAAAATATTTTAAAAATTCTATCGTTTTCTATAAAATGCTAATATAAATGTTCAGTGAAAATGTCGTGATTTTGAAAACTATAATTTTATATTTTGACCTCCTCAGTGCACCAACTAGATTCACTTTTCCATCGAACAAGATACTGAAGTTGAAAATCTTTTGACTACTTATCGTGTACACAGACTCAAAAAAAATGTAAAAAAGCATGGAAGTGGTTGTCACTCTGCTGTACAGTAGGTTCAGAATCTAAAAGTAATTATTGTGTTATTGGACACACTCACCTTAAACAATTCATGGGTATGCCACTTCTTTTGCATTTCTTATGAATTACCTATGGCTAATTTATTCATAACTATCAAATAAATAATATTTTTAATACAACTAATCATGAGTTATTTCATTTATCGATTGAACATAAATACATAATGCTTATTGAATTTCATCTCAAAATCAAACCATTTTACATATACTTACCTTATTTCACTAAGTTCTTTATTCATTTTCCTACGATCGAATGGCCTACAACTAACAAAACACAATATTATGCTTTCAGGTAGCTATAAATCATTTTCAAGGAAAGAAAATCAGTCTCAAATGAAATATGTAAGCACTTAAATTGAAAATCGTTTTTATCAATCATTGTTGACAATTGAATATTGTAATAAAATATTGTTGGTAACAATCGTATTTCGAGTTGTGTCAAAATTTGAAATATTATATTTACGTATAAAAACGTGGGATAGATGTATCATCATCATCATTGTATTTATTCGATTTCAGATAACACACATAACGTTGTTTTTTTTATTTTATTTTTTATTATTATTATTATTATTATTATTATTATTATTATTATTATTATAATATAACAAATATTAATTAATAATATTTAATATCCATTCTTCATTCATATTCAAAATATTTTAATTCCTGAACAAAAATTATTATGCACGTTTTTAAAATCAAATCTATTGCATAATTTATTATAAGTTTGAAACACAAACAAAAAACAGTATAAAAAAACAATTTTTAAAAATGATGATAATATAACATCGGCCTTTCATTAATAACTAAAATGTATTCCATAGTATTTTCAATCTGTAGTGTTCTTACTAAGTACAGCTTATTATTTTTTTTACTTGATATATAATATTCAACATGATTTTATTACTTTCAATAATAACAGCAATAAAATTTTTATTAGAATTTCTATATTTTGTTTTAATTAAGCATAAGTTTTTTGTAAAAATAAATATTGCATAATAATATTATACTTCTTAGTGATTTCTGAAAATATTCTTTATTTTTTTTACAATCTGTTTATTTTAATTCCTTCTTTTTCTAAATAATATACCTACTAAAAATATATAAGAAAATGTTTTAAATAATAATTATAAAATATAATATATTATTTCATTATGTCTTAAAAATGATATGTAAAATATATTAATGTAAGTAAATACAATTTTCAAATATTAAATAAAGTGTATATAATGTTATTTTAACAATTGATATTTTTTAAAATCTGTACGTATAATTATAAAATATGTTGGAAAAAACATATAATTACTTTGTCGAAAGAAACATCACATTGATGACACTATACTGATCTAAAATAATAATAATAATTGAATAATTTGTATGCTCTATTACACGGAACTCGTATAGGCAATTTCACTACATGAATCATTTTAGTCTAAATGTCTAAATATAAATATATATATTGACAATGATGAGTGGATTTTTTGTGTCTTCGACATTTGGAGTAGTAAAAATGCTCCAATTTTCTACATCAGCATCTTTTTTGATAGAAAAGTAAATGTACCTACCTATAGTTGGTGCATTAGGGAGGTCAAATTAAAAATCGACAAAATCGATTTTATTTCTTTGGTGAAACTCAAAAACTTAGCCTTGAGACATATTTCTATGTTTTTCTAAATTTTCATTAAATTATTGTATTATTATGAGAATTGAAAAATATTAAATATATACAGGCAAAATTATTTTTTTACGCTTTGAAAGTTCAAATTTTGACAAAATTCAAAAAAATCTCACAAACTTTCAAATTATTTTCAAAAAAAAATTCCAGTCTTAAAAGTTTTTCTCTTCGTAGCTTACATTAAAAATGTTAATGAAAAATTCCCGCCAAATTTTCTACCTTAAACAAAAAATAAATTTGAAGGAAAGTAACATTAATTTTTATGAGCGTTTTTAGTGTTCACGACCGAAATTAATTTAATCATAGTTTATTGGTGAATAAAAATTAATTTTATTTAGTTCTTTATATTTTTACTTTTAAAAATTGTTTAAATAATATATTATATTTTAATGAAACGGTTAATACTAAATTCTACGATTTACAAACAATAACTTAATTCTTATATTTTGTTACACTATGCAATATTATAATTCACATATTATTATCATTTACTTGATAAGGGTTTACCATTTCTGTAGACTTTTGTGATGAGATTAAAAGAGGTACGTATATAGAAATTATAAATATCAATATTTTTTTAAGTGTTTCCAATGTTTCCATTATAATTATTCGTATATAGATTAAAATACCGATTGTTTAGTTAAGATTTTCACTTATTATTATTATTCGCTTTTATTTATAATTACTCGGTAGATTAGATAAATTTATAACATGCACCCTGCAGTGTTGCTTAAGTATTTATAGCTATTTAAATAAAACAAAGTTTTCATAAAAATGTTAAGCTAATCAAATTTTTAATGATACTACAATACTACCTAGTAATAAATCATAGAAAATTCAAGGAAGGTACTCAGATGAAGGTACAATGCATATGTATTATTTTCAACATAAATACATTTTAAAGACCACCAATTTTCGTCTTTACAGATATGACACGCACTAAAAATGCTTTACTAATAAATAATATATAATATATCGTATTTGTGTGGTTTACAAACGTTTTAAATGAACCGTTGGATGTTTCCACTTAAAGATAAAAATTAAATTTATTGATCGACATTTATCGAAACGTTGTCTCAAATATTAGATTAAATAGAAAAGAACGCTAATAGAACTAAAAAATATTAAACAATTAACCTATCTATACATGTAAATGCTTAATGGTCTGATGAATACATTTTATACTTACTAACATAGTAGGTAACATAATTGTATATTTGTTTATGATAAGACTTCAAATAATTTCAAATAGAATTCTAGTATTTCAGTGATGTGTGATATTGTATGAGTTTATTATCTATAAACTAATACCTATATAATAAGAAAAATTGTTCGTTTATTCGTTTGAAATTTAAAACATGTTTAGAGCTGAACGTATGATACAAAATGTCACCTAGGATACTGTAAATATTAAATATTTACATTATGATAGCAGAATCACTAAAACACATAGGTACGTTTTGTTTTCAAAAACATTTTCAAACCAAATGTGAATTCAGACATTGTCGTACATAGTTTTGATTAATGTTATAATAAACAAAGTTATCAAACACGTATAGTATTAAAGTCACAATCTACGCCGACGGTCAAATAAACTTCTAGAATATGTGTTACACACACAGAAACTACTCCAAACATAAACCTAGTTAATGTTTTTCTAAAATATTCCTAAATCTGATACTCACTGATCGAGGTATAAAACAACTATAAGCTCTAATGATGCGATTTAGCTGAAGTTTTCTATAAAATGATAGATATTATCATACGTTTGGTCCTTTTATCCCAACTTTAAGATTCTAGTTGCTATACGTATATATAGTCATAAAATGAATGCTTTGGATACAACATTTTTTGAAAGTATAAACACAGAAAATACCCCCGTAAATAATACTAAATATTACTTTTTACAATAAATTATATTATATAAGGATATACAATATACATTATAGTATTATACACGGAAAACTAAAAGTAAAATATGATTTGATTTGGGCAATATTTATTTGGCTTTTATATTATGTTCTTGTGTTGTTTTGTGCGTAAACAATAAAACACTAAGAAATATTATTATATTACTGAAAATTTGAAACTAAACCTTATCCATATAAGTTGGTCATAAAATATTAGATACCTAAACTAAACTATATAAATGATGATTTTGTGTATTAATGGATTATTAGTAATTACCTAATTTCTGAGAAAAATTAATAAATTAAGGGTAATATTGATATTTTTATAGTTGCTTGTAAATAAATGATTGCCAAGTTTGATTAAATTTAGTTTATATTCAATCTATTTTAATATTTAAAGTGTATAGTTATTAATACTATTTATTGATTTTTCATTGCTTCATCTTTTTTATCGTCTTCTTTGGCTGCTTTTGGATCCATTTTCTTTTTAAGTTCCTTTATTGAATTCAAATATTCGGATGCTGCAATGCAAAAATTAATGTAGGTATTAGGATAAATTTAAAAATACCAAAATTTAAAAAAAAAAAATCGCAGCGATTCTAATTTTTAGCATTTTTTAAATACTTAAAAATGTTGACCAAGTGGGTACCGCTCTGCTATAGAGTAATCGTCGAGATTGTCATTATAATGGATGTGTTGTATTTAAATTCAATGATGAATCGTTGAATACAAAAAATGGTACCAAGCGAATACGTTATGTCATCCTCACATTTTTGTATAAATAATCAAAATGAATAACTAACAAAAATGAATAAACATCGTAAATAACTCATGGCTATAAATAGTGTAATTTTCCGATGAAATTTAAATGCATTTCAAAAATAGTCTATGTTTCTTTAGTATTTTTGAACTGATATTAAAGCATCTTTCGAAGACCCTTGCGCTAAATTTTACTAAATGAAACATTTTTATCGAATATGGTTTTTAAAAAAATTAGAAAATTTCTCAATGTTATAAATAACTCAAAAAGTGTAAACAAATTGGTGAAAATCTTAAGTGTATGGTTATTATATTTGGAGTTCCACCAAAAAAATAAAATCAATTTTTTTTTAAATTGGTTTTGCTTAAAAATTACTATTTATTTCACTTTTTTTTTCCTGACAATTTCTAACACTACTGAGAATTTTCATTTTTGACTTCCCAAAAGAACCAACTAGATTCACTTTTCTATCAGAAAAAATGCTGTTGAAGAAAATCCAAGCACTTTTACTGTAATAAAATTTGATGACAGACACAAAAAAAAATTTAAAATTAAAAAACACACATCATTGTAAAATCAATACATTCATCGTTCCACTCAGAATCAAAAATTAAAAATTAAAAAAATACACACATCATTGTAAAATCAATACATTCATCGTTCCACACAGAATCTAAAATGAATTGTTATGAGGTCTATTAAACACCCATAATATTATAGTATTATATCTAGTACCTACAAACAATAAACATATTATACAAAATACAATACTTAATCTAAGTTGTACATCGTATATTATTGAAGAAACCCCACTCAGGTAATCTGAAACTAAATTATTCTTGGGTTCTTGAATTAGGTATTTAATTCACAGTAGTATATGTTGGGTATTGACTGATTTAAATAGAATACAGAATAATAAAAATTTCACTACGCAATCAAAATAAGAACAATACTTTTAAATAATATACAATGAAACTGAGCTGTCCCTTTTCACCCTTTATGCAAAACAACTATTGAAAATTAAATAGTAATAAACCCTCACAAGCTTAATACACCTTTATAATAAAGACACATTTTATAACTACATCTAAAACAAAATATTATTTTTTTACCTTTGTTGAATTTTCATATTGAAAAAAGCTGCTCTGATGTACAGTAGGTTACAAGGGGGTCACTGTATAATGGATGGTATTAAATTTGAATTCAATGATATATCATTGTATAAGAAACACGATTCTGAGTGGAGACGGTATGTCAGTCGAAGTATAAGACATATTATTTACATATCTATGGTATTAAAAAAAAAAATTGACCCATAATAGGTACCTATAATAAATTCCAAAATCCAAATTAATCATATCACAATATCCATTAGATACTTAAAACGCGTTATACATCAACAACAAACCGTGATACTATCATAGATATATAATAGTACACTTTAGAAGTTTTAAGTACGCACGAATAATATTATACAGTCACAACAATATAACTAAAATAGTTATTCTAGGTTTTTTTATTATGTAATTTCGTCCAAATTTGAACTTAAAATGACTATAAAAATAAATTGTGCCTATGTATTTTCAATATTTTTCAACTGTTATTATAACAATATATCAGGAGCCTTGTATTAAATTTTTATCTAACAGATAAAACTTTATTAATATTCATAGAAAAAAAAAATAAAAAAATTGAAAACTGACTATGCCCGTTAACAGCTCAAAAAGCTTCAAAATATTTTGAAAATTTTATCAAGTGTAATTCAGTGAAATTTTCATGTATCTAGAATCATTTGTTTTTGAATTATATCAAAATAAGAAAACCGTTACATGAGAAATCGAGTGAATAACACATTTTGTAAAAATATGAATTTAAAATGCCCATAAAACTTTAATTTCACTTTCCGGTAGACATTTTTTTTTTGATAAAGGTAGAAAAACTTATGAAAAATCTTGTATTACATTTTCAAATCTTAAATTTAAAAAGAAAAATGTTTATGAATTTCCAACTAAAAATAATTTTCAAGATTTCCTGTTTTTTCCGTATTTTGTCAATATTTGAACTTTAAATGCTTAAAAAAAACTGTAACAAGGGATTTTTAATATTTTTCAAACGTCGATGTAACAACATAATAGGAGCTTTGTATTAAGTTTTCAAGCTTTTTTTAACCAACCAATAACATTTTATTGATATTTATAGAATAAAAAACTAAAAAAATTGGAAACTGAAAATGTCCCTAAACAGCTCAAAATAAGTCAAAATATTAAAAAAAAAAAAAAAAAGGCATGGTGTATAGAAAATGCTAATATAAACAGTCAGTACAAATTTCATGTAACTACGGTCATTTGTTTTAGAGTTACACCAAAAAGCAAAATCGATTTTCTCGAAAACAGATTTTGCGTAAAAATTCCCGTTTTTCCTTAATTTTTCTTTTGTTTTTCAAGTAGCTTTTGAAAACTATTAGGAATTTTTACTTTTGACCCCCCAAAGTACCAACTAGATTCACTTTCCTATCAGAAAAGATACTGTTGAAGAAAATCCAAGCATTTTTACTGTCCTAAAAAATGATGACAGACACAAAAAAAAAAAAAATATAAAAACACACATCATTGTAAAATCAATACATTCAACATTTCACTCAGAATCTAAAAAAATCAACAATAAAATATTAATCACTCAACAGTTCAAAAGACCCTTTTCGTAAAAACTTCATTTAACTCTAAATAGTATTACATTTAAACATTTCTTATTTAATTTAGTTAAACCATTATTATCAGAATAAGACCAGCCTAGTCTTTACTTTTACCATAATCCCATCCCTAACAGAACGGGATAGATACCAAAAAGGTAAATAATAAAATCTATTATATATACCTAGTTCTAACGGGATTTGTCTAATTGGTCAAAATGTAGATAAATTTTGATCCAACACCAACTCCTATAGGCATTTCGCTGACAGGGTTAATGAGGGATCTTTGGTCGTCTTATAATAGACCTTGGTATGAACCTATTTTAGGTACGTCCCAGATGCATATTATCATTTGTGATTTTATACTTGAGTAATTGATATCCTGATGGTATTCGCCTGAGATTGAAAAAGGTGTAAAATAAACGGTATAGGTACCCATGTGCGGATTTATGCTATACCAATAAGATATTGTTAAGAATTACATTTTAACACGCATTACCGTGTATAATCGCTTCTCACAAAAATCAAATATTCAATACTATCGTATTGTAGGGTCGATGATATGCAAAATCGTTTCTTATTTGTATAGATACATATTATAATAAATCATATTGACCAATTATAATTGGACATTTTTAACTATTAACGATATGAAAGCACAAAAATTACCTTTATTTTCACGTTGTAGGTTACACTTCTATAATATTATGAATACAAAGTAATTATACTTATTTGTAATAATAGTCAGGTCAAATTATTATTTACAGAAGCATAATGTTATTTTTAAATTATAATATGTTTATATGTTATACTGTTTGAGTAATATTTAATTCTTCCATGTTAATTGATATCCTTTATTTGTAGATTATTTTCTCACAGAAGTGCATTGCTTTTGTTTATATATTGTTTGAGTAGTATTTATTTCACCCATGTTAATTGACACTCTTTATTTGTAGATGTCTAAAGATGTAATTTAATATGCTGGTGGTTCGTGGCCAACATAAATGACCAATTAAAAATGGATAATACTTTGTTTTCTCCACTTACTGCACTTCTGCACGTTTAAGTGGATGTAGATGATCGACTAATATTACTGAGATATTTTTGTTTGCATGTAATCAAAATATCTAACATAACCAATTATGAAATCATAATTATATTATAATTTATATCTGTTAATTTTATAAATTTACTTATAGTATATTAAGTAGTTTGATAAGTACCTAAATATTATTCGTTACCTAAAAACCAACTAATTACACTAATGAATTATGCAACATAATAATGAAATATATTTATAGGTAAATTAAATACAAAATAGGAATTTTGATATTCATATTACCAAAAAAAGTACAATTAAACTACAACAGTTAACTGATAAGTGTATATTATACAACTGTTTTATCTTTCAAAGTCAAACATAATATTATGTTATTATGAAATAATTACCTCACATAATGCTTAATATTATTTGACACACAAACTGTGTTCTAAAACAACAATCAATAATCATAACTACCTATATAGGTATTCGTAATGCATTAATACAGTCTAGAGACAAATATACCTACGAATAATGTTATACTGTTATCATATCGTTAGCCTTTACATGTACAATATATGACAAATATATAGTTGTTAAGTACACAAATATATTGGCATGTAGATTCCACATTCACATCAAAATACGCGTACCTATACTGTATAATTAAATTGATTTACCATTTGTTTAACGAGTGGTGTATTTACAATCTGCCTAACAAAATATACATATGTAGGTACATTGTACAAGTGAGAAATTAAGAAAATCCAAAACACTATACTTATTACACAACAAAATACATTATCGTATAAGGTACTGATAGTGTAATGACAAAATCAAATCAATTTATATGCTATAGTGTCATCAATTACGTTTCAAGTGTTTGGGTAGATTGTTACGTAAGGCAAATGAATATATCTGGGATATTAGACAAGGAGGGAGATCTATGCGTAATGATACGGTTTCATTTGAAATGTATCAAAGAGCCAAATTCAATTATACAGACTACTGAGATAGATTAATTGGAATTCCTATGTATTACGAATATCACCGTAAACTAATCCCGGAAATTTTACTCCGTGATACTAAATCCACCTAATATATGTAAAATGTATAGAGTGAAGACTGTAACTTTAACATGAAATATTGTTGACAAACCGTGTGAAGGTGGTCATTATTCTATAGTTTGTATAATAAAGTGCCTATAGCGCCGTCCAAATGAAAACACATAAAATTAAAATTACATTTTTGAATTCGAATTGTAATAGACACAGCTGGGTTATCGAATATAATAAAGAAAATGTAAAAACAATAATTCTGATTTAAGGTAAAATCTTACAAACTGATTTGTTTATTGTTTACACTGTATATTATATTTAATAAATTCCACAGAAATGAGTTTAAATGTCGACGGAAACCCTAAACCACTTTTTCGAGATTTCTAAATAGATTATCTAAATAAAACAAAATGTTTTTTCTGGATAATATGTTGGAACTAGGCTATTAGTGAGTCAAGATACCTAGGTATATAATACCAATGCCTATAACTTACAAAACCTGAAATGTAATTTTCTGTATTTTTGTATCACCTTTTAAATTAAAAACAGGAATTTTCAACCATCATACTGTGTTTAGAAAATTTTAAATTATATAGGTAGTAATATATAAAAGAAGAATGGTAACTTTAAAAATACAAAAAAAATAACTAGTTGCTTAAGTAGAGAATTTTTGTAGGCAACTAAAAAGTTTTCAAATTATTCATTCTTAAAATACATACATGGCATTAAAAAAATTATTATTGCCTAATGACTATGAAAATAATTTTTCAAAAATAACCATTAGCCAAAACTCCAAAACAAAAACGATCATCATGTACAATATTTTTTTCGTCAATACTAACTTTAGGTCTTGTAACTTTTCTTCTAATATGTTTACATGCTACTAAGGTTTTCTTAATATTAATAATTACATTATAATATTATACTAAATATAATTGAACATACTGAAAATTTTAAAAACCTATCCCTAGTGTTAATTTATTAATAACTTAATAAATATAAACATTTATAATATTTTTTACCTTGTGGAACGTAGTTGTGTAAGAACCGTTTAATCATAAAGGTGCGGAATTCTCTGTTATTAATTGCATCGGTGATCACATATTGTATAACTTCCAGCAAATCTTGTAGCTCATGTCTGTGTTCGTTGAGTGCTTTGTTTTTTTTTAAATTTAAATTTTGAAGATTGATGTCTTTCTTATTTACATCTCCGTTGTTCGCACTCCACTTATTCAATTTCTTTTGGCTCACATTTTTACCGCCACGTACGTCCTACACGGACAAAAACATTTTAAGTAAAAATGATTTTTTATTGTTATGTGGATTACTAATTTCTATAAGAAAATTAAATTACCTGCAGCATCGATACACACAATACGATGGTTATACATATTAACGCACCGGCCTTCATTTTTAAGGATGGGTCACAACTGTACGAGTACAATTTAAAATATAAATATTTTCAACAGTTTCAAAAATTTTTAGTAAATTTTTAAATATGTCTATTAACGATGCAAATGGTAGTATGTTCGATTTAATCACAAACACATGTACTTATGTTGTTTATCAGATAATAACTTGCAATAATAGAAACACACGTCAATTACTGTACTCTTCATACGATTTAAATAATTGTTGTAAAAATGCACGAAACACATAAGCCAGGTACTAACTCAGAAGTAAACAAAAAAATTATTATTGTAAATATATCTCTTCAAAAATGATTTCTTCGAATATTATTCGTTAAGAGTTTTATTCGAATTAAAAAAGAGTCCATATAAAATAGATTTCATTTTTTTTTCATAAAGTACCTATATATCTACACATAATCTTATACATACAATATTGATTTTAAATAGTATTCAAATTAAGTATTCAAAATAAATTAAACCTTTTTTAGTAAATGAGTACGTAATTTGTTTCATAATACGATTCTATTGTTCTATAGGAACTAAACAAAAATGTTTGAAAATTAAATAATTTTTATTAAACACTTGTGTAGGGAAAAAATTACAATACGATCAACACGCAACAATTTTCTATCACGAAAACCTTCCAATTTCACAGTCCAACAGTAAACGTTCGCTACAAGTTTTGTTGATCGGAAACCATTTTCACCACAAGATGAACATTAACTACGCACAAGGAATAGTTTTGATAGTTCTTGCGTGTGTGTTACACACAGTGAGTATCATAAAATATAATATTATATTCAGTTTATTTTGTATATCTTTCGACGATTAAACAAGATTTACTTAATTGTGGCACCAGTGACAAACAATACATTATTAAATACATTGCACGATAAATAATTTTCTTTATAACTCAAAAAAAAAAAAAAGATTTAAAAAAGTTCACCACACAATGGTTACCTATTATTTTTAAATATTTAAAACAAATTAATTACGTTTGAACAACGTATGGCTTAAATGATCAAGAGTCTAAACTAATATCGTCTGTGTAAATGAAGAATACATATTGGCAGAATAATAATTCTAATAACCCTAATTATTAGGGTTTCAATTTTAAAAGGCGCATGTGCTAAATTATAAAAGTAGGTAATATTATGTTTTATTCAAATCACTGATTTTTACAATGTAGTATGAAATAATAAACAATGGATAATGAATTATTTAAGAAACAAGGTATCACTAAGTAAACAAAAAGCTATGACAAAAATATCAATTGCAAAAATGAATAACTTGTATGCAACTAAAATTGGTTTTCTATGGTCGTGTGGAACAAAACGACTATGGTAATCATTAATTTTGTAACTATGCGCTTTAACCAATTATATAAATACACAACACAACCACGCAGAGTATATTATATTTTATCTATTGGTTTGAATTTTGTTTATTTTGTTCGGATTCCAAAAGAAAGTCGAAACTCAAAAATATATTTGTATACCTATTAAAATTTCATATCTCCCGTATTATATCTTTATAAGTTCAGCAAATATAATAACTAAGTGATATTACACGAGACAATAATGTTTATAATTTTAGAATTGTGCAAAATCTGACAAAAACTTGGAAAAAGTTACTTCCAAATCGAATCCCAAAGATGGAGAAAAATCATTAGATGTCAAAAAAAACGAGGGTGACGCTGAAACAATGTTATTAAATATTGCCACTATAATACAAGGTTGTATAGACGAAAGAACAATGAATAATAAAGAGTTCAAAATAAAACTGGATAATTTGTATAGGAATTTGGTAATGAAAAGAAGTAAGTATTAATATTTTTAGCCTTCAAGTAGCCAAAAGTCGTAGACACTATATTAATATAGCTCGGCCTTTTGTACACACATAGAGGGTGCTTTATATAGTTCGCGACTCTTGTTTCTGCGCTATTATCATAGACAATACAAATTTATAAATGGACAATAACAAAAATGTTTTTGTTGATAATCTGGAACTAAGTAGATTTTGTCCGTAACATTGACACATATTATATGTTCCTTTTTTATCGAAAATTGTGCAATTTATAATTCACCTCAGACGCACCTCTCATGCAATTACTATGAGTATGTCATATCCATATAAATTATTTATTAAAAGGACGCTAGGCACCCATCATTTGTTGTCTCCGTCTTACACTCGTAGGACGCGAATTTTCATTCTCTAGTATCAATAGTGTGCTGTTAGCTTAAATATTAGAGTGAATTGACGTCCTATAAAACTTTTAGATAAGAACTGTATCTATGCTTAATAAGCGTCGATGATTTTTATATATTTTCATTTTCATTCAATATATTGGTATAATGCTAAGTATATTGAATTGAAGTATAAACGTATTTTGTTTCAATAATTTATTTACTTGAAGAGGAACTATTTCTGAAAAGAAACAAAGTGTGATGAACAAAATAATTAAATGGCGAGGGACTATTAAAATATAACTTATTATTATTTTAAAAATATTATTATTAATATTTATATACTATTACCAAGTAATTAAATTATTGAAACAAAATAAGTTTACTTAAATTCAATATACTTAGCATTTCTTCATGACATCACATCTTTATAGTGCTTAAAGATCTTATATTTTTTTTTCTTAGCCATTTTTACACGTACCTTACGAAGGGTTTTTGTTGTGATATCACTAATTTTTATCGCTATTAAATATTGAGTATTTACACAATAATATTGTTGGTAACATTGGCAACGCTGATCACGACTACAACGGCTACCGTGATTCTAAATTTTATATAAATTTCCATTAAAAAGTTCCAACTTTTTCATTTATAACTTAACTTCTAAACGTACAAATTTGATGATTTTTACAAAAACACGTTCTCTATTTCTGATGTTTTGAAGTTTACTAGAAGTTAATTGATGCATTAGAAAATTAGTTATGTAGTATAACAAATTTACCTGTATCTTACACAGTTTAAATTGGCGACTCCTGCTTCGATATACTATACACACACCGTCATGCAGTTATTTATTTTTTTTTTTCTTACTTGGTTCGGGCCACGTGGCGCTGGATGTGAAATATCAAAAATGAAAAATGTTCATTTTTCGCTTAAAAATTAAAATAACTTATAAAAGCCGACGCTTAGGCACAGTCGAACAGATAATGTTCTTATCTAAAAAATTGATAATAGGTCAATTCACTCTAATGTCAAAACTAACAGTACACTATTGAAACTAGTGAACTAAAATTGACTATATTATCGTACTAGTGTAAAAGTAAAACGGAGGCAAAAAATGCATACTCGGATTTGACACGGTCTTGTAAACAATATTAGATGATTAGATTTCTTGTTTACAAGGTCATTGGTTTTCGAAAGTATTTTAAATGCATTCATATTCTATAGTATATTGCTATCATTTTTTAAGCTATTACAATTTAATGGCAATTAAATAGTACCTATAAATCATACCTAGCCATATATTATATCCTTTTTTATAATTATAAATATCAATACATATCTAAGGATTTTGATTTTGAAATTGAATTTTAGACTTGTAGCTAATTAATATTTAAAGTAATTAGAGTTTGAATCAGCGGATTGGAATGGCACTGTGGTAAACAACAAAATATTAGTTTACAGTAATAAGAAACACTCAGTATAGGTATATACTAGGTATAGATATTATATAATATAATATTATTGTGTACAGTCATAATATAGGAATAAGGTATATCATATATTAAATAGATATAACTAACGACTATATATCACTGTGGTAGGTCCTACCCTGTAGTAAGCAAGACAGGTATAATAATAGATAAGGTATAATATGCCAACAATATAAACATTCGATTTTTTTATATTTCAGTAAACAAATTAATAACAAAACTTACAACTAAAGTAAATGACATTAAAAAAAAATATGAGAAAGACGTCGAAGTATTGAAGATAATGAACAGTATGCCGGATAGCGGAAGCAGTAAAAATGACAATAAAAAGTCAAAAAGTAATAATTAAACTAAAAATAATGTATAATATTATTAATATGTACATATATACATATATTTATTTTTAGAATCAAACAAAAAATAACCATGAATACTAGAGGTGAAAAAAAATTATTCCAATACAATAATATATTATTCCATTATAAACTACCATACTACCAGTGGATTCATTTGATGATGACTACAATTTATATTAGGTATAAAATAGGTACTTTGTTAAATAAAAGATAAATGATAACAGATAGTTTGGATAGTTTGGATAGGAACAAGTTATTGAATTATAACTAATATTTTCTCATTCCAACTTATTTTCAATCATAAGATCAATTACTAATGATCGTACCGCCAATATTCCAGTTATATTGTATTAAGTTTAATTTATTGTACTGCAAAAAAAAAAAAATAAAAACTTGTCAGATAAAAAGTTTTGTTGATTATGTTTTTTAATCCATCAAAACTACAAATCCTTATAGTGTAATTAACTTTTTAGTAAAGAATGTTGTATAGTATGTAGTATATATTTTATATTACTACAAGATTTTTATATAATATTTTAAAACAGTAAATACTATAAATATAAATATACATTTTTATCAATCAATAATAATTATTGGTTTTTATTCTTAATATGAACATATTTTTTATTATGAACAATATTGTTTAAGTAGGTACCTATTAGTTATTACTGATTCGTAATTACTATTATAACTATTATTATTATTATTACTTATTATAACCAAATTTATTTTTTTTTGAGTGTCATACTGTCATTATGGAATAAGAAATCAAATTTATATTGTAAGCCAATCTGTATGACTACCCTATGTATGATTTCTAAAACTAACAAACTATTGTTTAGAGCAGTCGTTCTTAACCTTTTTAAAGCCACGGAACACTTATAAATTATAATTGTATACGACTTTTGAGGAGCACTAGGTCGTAAAATAAAACAATACTTACATTTTTTTTTTAATAAAATTTTATATTTAATGATACTCGTGTTTAGTCAATGAAATAATTTAATAAAATTGGTAAATGATATAAAATAAATACAATTTTTAAAGACATTTTTAAATTATTTAATGTGATATTTGGGCCTGATGACTGTTGCATATAATTTCAATATTTGATCTTATATGTGAAAGTGCTACTCTCATTTCCTCTTCTATATTGATAGCCTTTCACGTTTTTTTTGTCTTAATATTTGTTAATGTTGAAAATCCATGCTCGCATAAGTAGGTATGTTGTTGAAAATTGTTATCCATGTTGCAGTTTTAAATAATTATTTTATAATATTATATTTTGACAAATTAATTAATGTACTCTAGGTACTCTAGTTTCACTCGGTACTTAAAAAAAAAAATCGAATTATTCATAAAGAAATTCGTTTACTGCGGTCGATAAAATAAATAAAAATAATACGCGGAAATATTATATTACATCAAACATAATGTATAGCATACGAACGGAATCATACTAACTGTGTACTAAGTATTTCTTTTACATTTCTACTATCTGCAATCGATCAGTTTATTTATAATCTATTTCTGTTATCGTCGTATGAATGTAACATTATACGAACACGCGACGGTACACTTTAGAGGAACATTTATCTTAATAGTTTCATCTTATGAAAAATCTGTTTGGGCCCATTAGACAACTGAAAAGTACGTGTTTCCAGGATAAATTCTAGCTGGTACGGATGTCACTGCAAAGTATTAAATAAATTATTCACGGTAGAAATATCAAAGTGAAATACATCATAATATATAGTTCAAATTAATTCCATGATTGAAGTTACGTGTTGAAATCGATCTCTTAGAGTCTGCAGAAATGTTGCAAAATCTTTAAAATAATTTAAGGTTTTACAGTGGAATTTTATGGGTAAATTTCGATATTACTATTACCATAATACCATAAGTAATAAAATTAAAATAATTACATCAATATCGTAAGTTGAAACTAAAACTAAACTAACCTATAGGTAGCTTATCTAAATTTTATTTTGGTTGAACTATTTTTCCATTATAGCTATTTTAAAATGTATAGGTACTTATATGAATTTTTTTAAATCATAACATTTTAACTTACAATAAATAACATATGTAATAATTTACCCAGTCCCTAATTTGAGCACAGAAGTTATAAGCATAATATTGTATGGCTAAATAATTTTAATCTTCTGCACTATATGTATAACCTTGGCAAATTAACATACACTTTGCTGTAGATTTTTATACCCGACAAATCCGGTCAAGTGTAAGTCCGGTTTGTCCCTCATTTTAAAAGTTTTTTTCTAGTGTAATAAGTTACCTATTGGCTATTACTAAAAACTTTTATTTAAGTAATACTTTTGATCTTTATACTGTATACCTATACTATTTATAAAGGATTTCTTTGTACAATATAATATTAGGTATGAATAAACAAACTATTTTTTTTTTCATACACCTAGTAAAGTGTAAAATTGACGATGTTCTTAATAGTTTTACTGTTCTTAAAAAGAAAGTTGCATTTATAAGTTATAACTACTTGTGTGCATGAATTCAATAACAATAATTAGTAATTTTAGACTAGGTGAATGCAAATTTTACTAATTTTTACCGAGTTCCTAATAATAATAGGTATATTATATGTAATATGTATGAATATTATATGTATATTTAAAATAATACCTATACATATTACTGTTAATATTTTAACACAAATTATCAATTCATTACAATCAAGCACTTTTCTTCATTTAATTTATCAATGCTAATACAGACTCAAAAACCATAAAACTTAAATAAAATCCGTTCTCAAAAACAAGCTCATAACAGAAACACACAACACATCTTCACGAAGTATTATAATATCTATGTCTGGCCACGTTTACACTGTGTATGGTGGTTTTTCTATTTTTGTTAAATCTACAATATTGTATTTTATCAGAATTATAAACAAAGAGGGTGATTTTAACGCCAAACATCAGTCGTGTGGATGCCATGTGAAAAATCCAATGTTTATAGCTTTATTATAAAAAAAAAAATTTAGTATAAGCTATACCAGGACCAACTTACTGGTCCTCAGAAATACGACAGAAAAACCATCTTCCAAAAAAATTGTATCCGCCAAGGACGTTATATAATATAGTCGGACGAGCAAAATCGCGTTAATGACCCGAATTTCGAGATAACACACTGTACCATTGCCCATTTGTATCGTGCCAGTACAACAATATTGGCTCACACAATCATAATAATATATTTATATTATAATTTATATTCACTGTAATGTAGACATTACGTAGTTGCTGGTGAACTAGCCGAGAACGTATTATTAACAGTTTACACGGCGCGTCAACCCACCGTGCTATATCCATCTTGTACAGATTATTATTTATTATTATTAAAGGAAGTTATTTACTTGGCTTGAAAATACGTGACCAAAATATTAATAAAAGTATTTCTGTTTCTCCAACCAGGTCGTCTACCTGCAATATGGAGCACGACTGAAGTGATGTACTAACGAAACTTGAGTGGTGGGTGGGGGGATCTCAACTTGGGTTATCTAATATCTTGATGGATTTATTAAATTATAGTTTACTTTGTTAACCTTAACACTATTGTAGTATCGTCAGTAGCATAAGCATTTATCACAGAGTTATACTAATATGCACTATGCTTTTTCACACAAGTATGTGTAAATTGATGTAGGTACAATAACTTAATGGAAATATAAATAATTTAGGTACGAATTATAAATACTGCTGACCGGCTTTAGAGTTTAGGCAATTTGAATAGAACATAATATAATACACAGGATTATTTTAAATCTTGCCAGGGAATTTTACAAAATTCCATTGTATAAAATTTCATATTTATTTTAGGCAATGAAAAAAATTTAATTAATCGTTATATTAAATAAAAAATAAAAAATAACTTATATTATTACCTATTATGTACAAATAATAACTAGAATCTACCTATACTACTATTACTTATTGCAACATGTACCTAGTTGACAAACTATACATTTTGAGTTACATAGTACTAGTACATTATGTTTTTAATTTATACAAATATATCTATTATTTGCCACATTAACTTAAAAGCGCATTGAAAAAGCTTATCTCTCTGAAAATATCTTTGATGTTCTTCATGCTCGTTAAAACTCGAGAGGCCTGAGTGGCTGAGTAGTGAGTACAATAAACTGTGTAAGGTTACAAATTGGTTACATATGGTTCACCATTATGAATTTAATTTTGCCATCAAGATGTAATTGAAAGTCAGGAGTTAAAATCAAAAGCTATTATCGGTTTAACTACAACGATTTTTGTTCAAGCCTTTTTGTTTTTGTTGGCATGGTTCACAAAAATGCAAAAATGTCTTTTTCCCATTTCGTGCTATATTTTTATATTTATTAGTTATATTACCATCACCATGTTCTTTAACCATTTGATCCCGTCCACCAAGTCCTATTAAAATGTGCGTGGTCAGCAATACACCTAACAGCTCTCTGTCGGGAATACCTATAGGTACATACTAATATATTATTACAATATAACGCTGCGTCATAGGCGTGTCTACGGTGGCAGCCTAAGGTGCCGGGCTGCCCCTGCAATTTTTGAAAGGTGCCTGTCAACCGAGTTTTAATTCAGAGGGTTATAAGTTATATTTTTATTATGTACCTATTGATATCATGTTCTTGTATTATTTTCTTAATTATTTTGCATATAAATGCATAGTTTTAGTTCAAGAAAATATTTTGATAAAAAAGTATATTTTTTGCATATTTTATTATGATTTTTAAAGAATATTGAAAGAATATTTTCAACTTTTTTAAGAGAATATTAGTATCTTATTTTGGCTATTTTAAAATAATATAATTCCGGCCCCTAGTTATAACATTTCTTTTTTTTTAAAAACTTGATTTTTTTGTGGGTATAATTATAATTACCATTTACTTACAAAGATTGATTTCATGACTTCCGAAACCGGAAAAACCTACTATAAAGACTTGAGACAGACTACGACGGTACAGTACGCATCTAGGTATTATTGATATCATTATTGTATTATTTTTGATTTTTAGCTATGTGGT